GCAGTTTGATTTACCATATGAAGAGATGCGCGCTGTTGATAATGTCCGGTGAATGTGCGACCAGTGCTCTTCAACTGGCTTCTGTGAGCGTTCAATCAAGTCGGATGCCAGCTTACTTTGATACGCATTTAGATCATCTGATTTCGCCAGTTGGCAAGTATCTATGCACCCACAGCGCCGCCGCAGGACGGTGCAAACAAGTACGTGATTAGAGTCCGCGCTCTTGCTTCAGATCGATGGACAGTTTTGAACGCATTCTCTTCAGTGGTAACTGATCGCGATGTGATCGATTTGTGTCCATGGCTAGTCAGAGGCTGGTGGGTTTTATGTCACCCTCCAACGGGTTCTGTATCTGAAGTTAGTGTTCTCGAAAAATGAATGGGCATCTTCACACATGTGTAACAACCGCTCACGGTTATCATTACGAGAGCCTACACCACGTTGACCGCCCAAATGGAGCTCATCAGTTGACAGTTTTCCGACTTGGGTGTTCAACTCACTAGCGTGTGCCACAATATCCGTACTTTTTCTGTGACGGACGAGTGCATTTACTTGGCGTTAGAAGTCCTTTCGCCGAGTCAGCGCTACAATTTGTGTGCCCATAGTCCGCAATGACAGTGATTGTTGGAGCCCTTATTACATTGTTCTTAACATTTAAATATGCTGTTCTTCTATTCCCTCCTGTTTCGCGCCATACCAGCAAATGTGCCGATCCATTTGCAGTCGTCATCCTATGGTCCCTAATTAGTAAGACGTACAGGCCAACGATGACGAGACAGTAGGCCAGCAATTTCATGCTTTGCCGCTTAGTTGTTCGCTAATCTCCACGCGTTCTCTTCCAGTTGAATTGTGTGCGAGCAAAAAAGCGCGGCGTGGTAAGCGCTTTCAACACATGCGTACGACGTGGCCAAGCCACCCCAATTGACGTACTGCAACAATGAGATTAAATGGAAGGCTCATGTCTTCCAACACGCGACGTCGAACTTCATCTTTGCGAACCCGGTGCTACCACCACACACTGGCTATCTTCCGCCAACCTGTATTGTCGAGGACCGAGACTCGATGCATGTCGTCCACACAAATCGGCCAGCACTCATCATCAACAGCAGTACATCAGCCATTTGAACTGATGCTTCGCTGCCATACAGCCATGATGACCTACGGAATGAAGAATAACAAGAGAGAGAAGGGGAACTTAGCTGAAAACCATAATGCCCTAAGCAAACATTCTGGGCCAAGACGCCTGCACCTTGTGTAGACAACTTATCGTCACAAACAGCTGGCTATCGTGCAAAGATAAGGCGGCATCGGCGAGACAGCTTCCTTGCGGAACGGCCACCACTCATATCGGTACAACAGGAGTGACGGCTAGGTTGCCGGCTGTTCGGCCAGGGCAGACAGAGAGATTGCACAATCGTTTTTTTGCGAGCAAAGCGGGGCTTCGCTTAGTCGGATTGCGATGGCTTCTACAGTGGCGAGCACCCTTAACCCCAAACCTTTCGATTTACTAATGGGAACCTGATAAACCACAGTAAACGCATTCGGGAGGCTAACCCGTTGGCCTGATTCGGACAAGCGGAAAAAATTTACGTTGTCAAAACCCCGGTGCCTCGTTTACCAAACATTTAGGACTATGTTAGTTAAGGGAACGTTAAAATTTGCGGGCGGTTCGACTAATATACGTTGCACCACAGTTCTTCACAACTCGACAGCTTATGTAAGAAGAGGTCAACTGCGCCAGTCTGTATATTTTGCACACAGGAATTAGCTGTTTCGTGGCGAAGATACATCGCGGTTCCGCAGTCGAACAAATGTTCCTTCTTTATAATGTCAATTTCGTGTTATGACCTCGGCAACTTCCTCTTTAATTTTGCCTTCGACAAAGTCATGGAAATGATATTCACTGGACAAGAGCTGCTTCCAAGTGAGCGACTTCTTTAGTTGGAGTATGACGATGACAGCCCTGACCTGTGCTAGCTCTCAAACGTGCCAAACTGCACTGGACAGATTAGCCTTGGCTATCAGTCGTTTCGGACTATGCTTTGCACCATGGAAATGCGAAGTCCTCCAAGAATGGCACGGACCCACTCCTGTCCTGATCACTGGTGGGGATCAGCTAGAAGTACCTTGGCAGGTATATGAGCGCCTTTGGAATAGAAGATGAGATCGCAAAACGTGCCTTTGCCACTCTTCACCACTGTGGCGTCGGCGCGGCATCACTTTCGCCTTGAATGGCAGAGTTTATCACACAATCTTGCGAAACCTGGCTCATCAAATTGACTGAACTACGGAGGCATGTTACATTCGACCATCCCTGTCTACAATTTACCTCATCCGAGTGGAACCGCATGGGCAACGAGCATGTTTGGTGTCGCGTACTTGGTGCAGGAAGAGCGAGTGAACCGATCAACGCTATTATATCACTAACCAGACCCCGATGATTGGTCCAAGTGTTCCTTATGCCATCACTGTGATTTGGGCGACAGGCGTCTGGGTGGAAGAAGCGTAGGAACGCCAAGCGGTGAATTGGTCAAGAGGAATAAAGACTCGCTTCGAAGTTGGCGTCAGTTGGTGTCTTCCGGCTGACAGGCTGTGGTCGCACGGGCGATGAACACGTTTGGTTTGATACACTAATTGATATGGCCAAAAGCCGAACTCAGGGACGTTGGTGTTGTGAGTTCATTTGTCCCTGCCGTTCCCGCTTCGATTCTCTCTCTCCAATCATGCTTCTGCACTCCGTACATAGTATGGTGCTTAGCATTATGATTTTTTTGCCCTTGTAAGCTGTACTGTTTTATATATCATTCTTTTTTTATATCTTACCATTTTGTGTTGCGACACAATGGCCCTCAGCTAACGTACGATGTTGATGATGGTAGTGGCGATTTGCATTTATAAGTCACTACGTTGTAACACAAATGTCAAATGAAACACTTCAGCATTACTCACTTAGTTCTCTCACCAGACAATATCGATTTGTCGCAGCCATTGTTGGTCAACATGCTCGACTTTTTAGCATCCGCAGTGCATGGTGGCCAAATCACTGCATTCATTGCACTGACTACTGCAGATTTGCGTACCCTTTCCTTAACCTTTATTGTTTCGTACCAACCACATCCCTATGTGATTGATGTTTTGAATAGTCACACAGTCCTTTTTATCAGAGCGTGCAGCTACTTTCTCGATACTGTGGCCCCAGTGATGATGCAACTACATAGGAAAGTGAATCGATCTACCACTTTCCTTGATCGTGAAAGCTAGAGAATGGATTTAACCCAGTTTTTTAACTGAAATTTGCGCTTTGAATATACTAGGTGCATACTGAAGTGTGTCTACCTGTGATTCAACCTATTCACTAGTGATTGCCTAGCGGCTAGGTCAGACCCATCGGTATATATATCGTCCGCATAACATACGCTCGATAGTCAATCATAAAAGACTCGACTCTAGAAGTCGATGTATAGAAAAGAGTTTCTCACGATCATCTCAATCGCAGAGTGAAGAGAAAACTAAAGCTAAGGTTGTACTCCACTTGTTGTGGCGAACGCATTGAGGCGTTTCCCGTAGACCTTCACTCACTTCTAGAAGTTTTCTGATAGACAATTGAATAGAATGCAATTTGTGTGGTGCGCTCTTCAACGGTAGATATCACTAGAGTCAAGTGCGGCCAACGAAACCATCCTGTCTGACGACTGCTGCGATGTGGTATATCGATCTTGAAGCACCTGTCGAATAACGAAGATGCATCCAATGCGCCTCTGTGGGATAGAATTAAGCATCTCTTACAGTTTCTTATTTTACGGGTATCAACTTGTCGCCGTAGGTTGATGCACGTGAGTAGTCTGGGATCGGACTGATATTACGAGCACTTGCACCTGGCGTCCTTTTGTTCCATACACACCACCAGTGGGCATTGATTTGTTTGCCTTAGTGTGCTCAGTTCCCGTTTATTTGCTTCCATATATGGTTATGCGAACGACTGAGCTTCATTCTGGCTTAACAACGCGCCAAAGATGCAGCATCTACGAAACTGAGGCATTGACTTGTTAAATGAGCTGGTCTTTCCCAATGCAAATTGTAAATAGCTTGATAGCAGATACTGAACATCAAACCCCCCCATTTGTGTAGTCTCCTTATCAACTAACGAGTTAGTTCCTACTGCGCACTGAAAACGTCACCTCGAATGGTGGTGAAACCTCTGCAATCGAATTGTCCGTCTTGGAGGAATAATCAACTCACCAGGCTTCAATGGTTGGGCCACGTGTTGCGCATGTCAGCCCACCGACTTCCGCGACGTGCGTTGTTTGCGCGCCAGGGTTGCGGATGGAAGACGAGAAGAGGTGACCAAGCGACGACTTGATCTAGAGGAATGAAGGCCCTTACTTCGAAGTTGGCCTCGATTGGGGCCTCTCGACTCCCTGGTTGAGGACCGAAGGACGATGAACACGTTTGATTGGATACACTTGTTGACATGACTAGAAGCAGACCTCAATGTCATTCGTGTTGTGAGTTCTTTTGCCCATCCCCCTCCGCTTATCCCCTCTCTCTAACCACGATCTCAATTAATAGGCATTATATGACTGCAGCACATTAGTCGGCTGTTAGCTCTCCAGAACGATGTCCATCCGTTACTGGTAATTCAGCCTGCGTGCCTCTGTTTCATGTTTGTTTGTATTGCGGCACCATAGCTGAGATGTTTTCCACCTGCAGCTAGCGTATGTAATGATAATGATGATGAATCAACATCTCAACTGTCACTCCAAACAGAATATGGTCCGATTTATCGCATGCGTGATTTTTCTGTTGTTTCATTTGTAATTGAGCTAAGACGCTCTAAGAGCGTCTCTATTTTAATCCTTCGGGTGTTTATACATTTCCCGAACAAGAACAGATTTAGTGTTCGTTATACTCCTTCTTCTGGAAAGCTGGTATTATATTAATTTTACCTTTTTAGTTTTAGAAATCACTGATCAATATGGCTCAAATTCCTTTTAAGAACGATGGCAGTTTTCTGGAGCTTTTTAAACAGATGCAAGGTAAACATGACGTAGTTTGTGCCATGATGTTCAGCCGAACAAGAAAGAGTTTCTCTTGAGATGAAAACGGTACTTCCACCTAAGGTTTGCTTTCGTCTGGTATGATCATTTTCAGGTTCCTGAGAATGAAACTGCCGCCACAATTTTGCCGTATGTTCCTTTTTGTTTCATATCATTTTTAAGTGATGTTGACGAAAGCAGCTTTGATAAAGCAGGTAGGTTTTTGTAATGTTGACCGATTCTTCTCGAGTTTCTTGATTCACCATCCTAATTAAGGTATTTCCAGTTCCTCCTTCTGATCCAAAGGTGCTTATCGCGATCGAGTCGTTAGTGCTGCGTCTACGGGGTTTAAACAGGGCCTTGTGCGATGCGGAAATAAAGAAGTTTGAGGACAGCGTGCAATATTGGTAAACTTTTTTTCCTTTTATCAAAGTAATTCAGGTTCCTCACTTTACCCGATACTAATGAATATAAATTTTTCCGACGTCGGTTGAAGGAAGCTCGGAAACCTGGCACAGTTGATCACTTCCCTGAAGTACATGAAACTTTATGTGAGTATACTTTTGCTGGTCGGTCGCTGTTATTAATTTGGTAATCAACTTATTGCGGTTTTTAATCGTAAACTGTAAATGCAACTATCTTGACTCAAACATTTTTATTAGAAATAAAGTCCTTTTGAATTGACGCACTTTTGCAAAGGGGGACCAGATTTATTTATCCCGGATGAATAAAGTTCCGGGGTTTTGGTAGCGGTGAAATCCTCGAAGTCGGTTTCAGCACCCCCTTGGATTTTAAAATTTTTCTATTGGAGAAAGTTATCCAGGTGCTTGCAAGTGTGGTAACCGGTGTGTGAGAGGTCAGGGAGTATGATGAGTGAGGCAATGCTTCGTAGCTCAGCTCATGTAACTTTCACAGGGTTAATTGTGCGACGTGTGGCCGTGCGTTGTCATGGAGAAGCATTGACCCATTTTTGTCGACCAGTGTGGATACCTGTGTTGAGGTTTTCGGTACATTCCGACAACTTGTTGACAATACGTCTCCACTTTATTTTTTACCCTTGGATTCAGAAAGCTGTGGTGGATCGAACCAGCTGCAGACCACTAAACAGTCACCATAATCTTTTTTGGGTGTAATTTCGGATTTGGTAAGTGTTGAGTCTGATCGTGGTCGTCGATTGTCGTAAAGGATTCACTTTTCATCGCAAGTCACGATCCGGTCATGAAACGGGTCGCTTTTCTTGCGCATAAGAAGAGCAGGCGACACCATAAAAAGACAATTTCTTCGATCTACAATTCGTGCGACACCTCCTTATCAAGCCTTTTCGGCATTCCATTCCCCCGTAAATGTTTTGAAACTCTCACTGCAGCTGCTGCTACTAAGTCAGCAGCAAGATCTCGATTCGTTTTACGCGGATCCGCTTTAACTAAGGCCCTTACTTGACCATTGTTCACTTCCAATGACCGTCTACTACGCACTTCATCTTTAAACCTCTGGCAACCTTTTTGAAATATCTGAAACCGCCATTGTTCAGCATACCGACCCGTAGGCTACAAGTAACGAGCTTGTCTTGTAATCTAACGGCGCCGGTCAGAGCCTGCGTAAGAGCAGAGCGACTCTCGCAGTATCCTTAGCTCTCGTGTGACCTGTGGTGGTTGCACGGCAGCCAAGCGTCGGTACTGCTTGCCGGCGTACTGCTGATGTGTCTTTTGCCTCGGTGCACTACGGTTATTAGTGGTTCCAGCACCGAAGGTACTGTTAGTATCATGGGCTGTTTCCGCTGCATTTCGACCAAGTTTAAATTGGCACAAGAATATTGTGCAAATTAGTCTTTAGTACCTCTTGTACTAAATGTTCTGTAAATATTTAAAAATGTATATCTGAGCTAAACTATCACTATAGAGCGTACAACAGGCTTCGAAATGATATACAAGGTCAAACTAACTTATAAACAATTATACAAAAATAGACGTTAAGCACATCAAAAAACCGCAATAACTTTATTACCAGTCTATTACTTTGGAGAAAAGGTGTTTTGAGTAAGCTTGCTAACTCCTTGGTAACCTGCCTCTTTTCTCACTCAAATGTGACTGGGCACTTGCAGGTCGGAACACCCAACGGTGCAAATGGAGTGTCAACCGATTAGGTAGGAACTTCGCTCCATCTCCTCAGAATGTTGACCGACAGCCATTCGTCGACAATATCAACAACAACAGTACATCCGCCATTTGAACTGATGCTTCGCTGCCATACAACCCTACTGACCTGCGGAATGAAGGATAATAAGAGAGAGAGGAGGGATTTATTCGAAAACCGTAATGCCCTAAGCAAACATTCAGGATCAAGGCGCCTACACCTTGTGTTAATAAAATACCACCACAAACAGCTGGCTATCGTGCAAAGGTAAGGCGGCATCGGCGAGACAACTAATTTGCGGATTTCACTGCCCCGCGTCATAATCAGCCATTACCCTGCAGCTAACTCAGCACTAAACACCCTTGAAATAGACAGCTCGAATTGGCGACGACAGCAAATACGCCACTGGTGTCGGTTGCGAGCCATGTCCTGTAAAGTCCCGAGCCAAGCACAAGGCCAGTCACGTGGACTCCAGCCCGGAAGGTGAGACGGACCAACGGCACCCAGTTTGGTCGTCAGTAACTTTATTTCCCGCTGCAAAGTCAACTTTTGTCCCTCTCGGGCCTTGCACCACCCTACATCTGGCAGACAAGGTCCCCCTAGGTAAGCGGTGACTAGACATACGTACGTACCCAAGCCAGCGCAACTTATTCAGTGCTATCTGTTGTTCTAAGGAACCAGCTTGCTTATCACTGCCTGATACCTACACAAATCATCGTTGCGGACACGCTGGTGCCATCCGACCCCAGCATTGCTTCGCAGACAGCGATGATCAAAGATTTCAAGGCGCCTCAGATCTTCAGACCGAAAGGGACAAGTCCCACTCCCACAGAATAGGACGGTCCTCACTGTGGCCTTGTATACCCGGCCTTTCAGACGAAGGAAAACTCCCCTTCTGTCGCCAAAGATACCGCAGACCCAAGAAGGCCGTTCTGGCTTTTGCAATGTGTGAACTGACTTCAGTTTCTATGCGCCCATCATTGCTGATGCAACTGTCAGTGTAAGTGAATCGATCAACCACTTCGAGTTCCTCGTCAGTAAGCGTCAAGGGGTCATCAAGTGACTGCTGGTCCTGCAGCAACACTTTGCACTTTGAAGGTGCGAAGCGCATCGCAACTGATGGGACCATTTTAGACTGGCTATTCAGGGTTGATTGTGCCACCGCAACATCGTCGAAAGGCAAGACGATATCGTCTGCATAATCAAGTTCATCTAACCTTTCGCCAGGCAGGACCTCAACGCCTACATCTTGAGATTCCGGAAAGGAACATTCCATGATGGAGTCCAAGACGAAGTTGAACAAAGTTGGGGAAATCGGACAATCCTGACGAACGCCACTTGTGGTCGGAAAGCTATCCGACAGGTCACCGTACACCCTGACGCGGCATGTAGTGCTCGAGTATAGAGCACGTAAGGTTCTTGAGTTCACTTGTTCTCCGATCTACGTAATTGGGATGCAAACGTTTCATCACCAAACGAGGTAACTTCTTCAGTCCACTGCTGGGTCAAATGTAATCCACTGACTTGTTCGTCGATTTGTAATCAGAGTTTTGCAGACCGGGGAAGGTCACGGGGCACAGATCGAGGAGATCAGTTCAAAAGTCACTTTCTGATCGATTACGAATCGAAGAACAAGCCAGCGGATTACATTTGACCCAGCAGCCGACTGAAGTAGTCGCCACGTTTGATGATGAAACGTTTGCATCCCAATTACGAAGCTCGGCGAACAAGTGAACTCAGGAACGATCAACCCAAGCTACCAGTGCATCAAGTCATTTTGAGCACGTAAGATGTTCATGTATTTCGTGAGAACGCTTTTGCGCGCAAGTATTTCGAACAGAATGGATCGATCTACTGAATCGAACACTCTCTTGAAATCGAGGAACATAGCTATTGTCGGTTTGCGGTATGCATGGCGCTGTTCTAGCACCTGCCGCAGAGTGAATATATGGTCTATACAGCCATCTCCAGGACTGTGACGACGGATGGGAGATAACGCTGATGAATGATAAAAAAGCTGTGGCTGTGCGCTCAATCGTAGACAAATGTACGATTAGGGTCCCCACCGGCAGTCTTTTACTTACAAGCTAGTTGCTACGTTTCAGTAAGGTGGCATCTTACTTTAGCGAACGGTTGTTTGACTTCTCCTTGTTACTCTGCGATGCCACAGCCTACACTTAGTTGAGTAAGACGAGTGACAATTTTCACACTTGTTGGCCTATTTGTATCTTTAAATCTTTACTACCTGATACCTTTGGTTTTTTTTATCGTTTTTAGCACCACTCGCCTTCTTCTATCCGTACTGTGCTTTTGATTCTCCATACATTTCACTGATTTACCCTCTCTATCATCTCTGCTCATCAGTACCGGAGACATGTCCACCTCCGCCTCCAAAACCGGAACCCTCAGACTCATGCACATCGAAGAAACGTCGTTCTCGGTGGGGTGATGCCGATAGCACCGAAGTAAAGATAGAGGAGCCGTGCCCCGAAAGCGCTGTTGATCGTTGCACTTCCATAGCAAACGCTATTGCTGCAGCGAGAGCGGCGGCTGCTGCCGCTGGGATTTCAGGTTAGCAAAATTATTTTGTTAAATATCATCACTTAATAGTAGTTTATCTCAACCGCTTTTTCTTTCGAAGTTCTTCTTTTTGATGTTACTTTCATGTTACACTAGTAACTTATTTTTATTCCTTTCTTGTGTGCATCCATCGCGGTGATGTGCTCACCTCTGTGACCCATTGTGCTTCACCTTTGAATTACCTTTTGATCGAATCACACCAGACAGATCGACGGTTATTAGTCGGACCAACGCAGTGCCGGGCTTCTTTTTAGAGGTTGGGGAAAAGCAATGATTTTTTTTCTTATTTAAATAGCTATAGAAAGCAACAGATGACCGCGTATCATGTCAATACTGGATCGGTGTAGAGTAGGTGTGCCACGCATTGTCTCTGGCAATCGAATAACACTACCTGGGTTCCAGTGGTTTGCTACCGAACTTCCTCAGACCAGATAGCCCATCGTCAGAAAGTTACAAACCCGCGACTTCCTATGTCCATCAAATGTGGAAAGCATATTCAAATTGTTCTAGCCCTTCAAAGACTACATATGACGATTCTCACGGAGATCCAAGTGGGACTCAAAAATCACGCTCCTGAGATGATCGTGCTCCCCACTGCGTTTGTTTCAGACTGTTGTATCAAAGTCTGGAGGTCGGACACCTCGAACAAAACCTGTTCCCTCGACATGGTAGACATAATGTATCATATGCCAACAAAACACCGTCGTCATCAGCCTACTTCCTTTTTCATTAATCCTTAGCTCCAGCAACAACGCAATCAAGAAGACTGGGTATCGTGATTTTACGGATGTCGTGAACGCCTCGATGATAGCTTCGGCGTCGATACACATGACCTTCAGCTATGCGCTGCTTGCGACATCTGTATTGGTTTGGAAGATCTCCAACACAGATACATTTAGTTACGTTTCATCCGCCGAACGACAAGTTGTTCTGGATTGTAACTGACCACTTCGTCATTCATTATAATTAATGCCTAGTACACCGTTGTCATCGAATTAAAGCGCTCCTCTCGATTCCTGTCACACCCACTTGCTTGCCCACCAAATGCCCACTTTTTCTAATTTGGCAAATTGTTCGGTTTCATAGGCTCTCCTTCGTCAATTGTATTCACAATCGGCGAGGAAACAATATAGTTTATCATTGCAACATCAGTTTATCACTGACGAAAGAGGTTGTCAAATCAAATATCTACTAGAATAATCTTCAGTTCTTAATTCGTAATGCACTTGGGATCGGTAGTCCACCCAACTCTAGACCCTCGAACATTGAATGGTTATCCAGAGCTTCGATTAGTCTGATCGAAGCACGAAAGACAGTCTTATCAATACGTCAATTCCAACGTGCTTGTAACAATTTAAGGCCTTGCCCTTTTAGTAGTTTGAAAATTGACCTAGAGCGTTGGTGGGCAGCGTATGCTTGCAATTTTGAGATGGTCAGCGCTGTTAGGATCACGAGCGTGTTACTCTACTTCGTTCGACGCATGGATGCAGGAAAGGTTCCTGGAGGGAAATAGTAGCCGAAAAAGATGGACGACTGATTCTCTATCAATCACCTTGAATAGACAACTCTGCGGAACACTTTAAAGTGAATTTCCACCGGACTAATATATCGGAATTATTAACTGAGTCATCTGAATCCATCCGGTGCATTGATGTAACACGTCTCATCGTTGACCGAATCTGAAGCTAGCTGGTAGTGCTGAGCTGGAGAAAGATGCCTTTCCCACACGACCTTCCATCATCGTTGCCGTGGTGATTCATTAGTGTTTGCTGTAGCCGTTCTATTCGGCGCTATTTGGCGTACAAAGAAAGTGCCTTCTGTTTTCTTCATGGTATCAATCTTTTCCAGGCACCTGCATTAATAACGTGTTTACTCATCACTGCAACCTTAGCCAACAACTCAGAAAAAGCCCGCAAAATCGATCGCGAAAATTTGTGGTCTTAGCGCACTTCGGGGATAGAGAGGGCAGCTCACTTTAGAAGTGTTCGCAAACTTTCCAGAACATTCGGACCGCTGGTCAGTGGAGCTATTTGCGACGTTGTTGAATCACCAGTCACTGATTTGCGTAGACGCATGGACCGCTGGGCTGGGCACTTACACTCTCAATTCGGTTAGCCTCTTCCTTCCTCCTCTTTTACAAGCAGGCCAACTTACGCGCCTTGGAACGTTTCACTGGAAACAACCACTGAAGCGCAGGTCTGTCTTAAGCTTCGTCACTTGCAGCGATTCAGAGCTGCTAGCTCAAACAGACTTCCACTGGAGCTGTTCAAGTACGTTGGTGAGGCGATTGTCAACCAGTTAACAGCTCTGTTTTCGAAGATCTGGGGTTCCATTCGCTTAAGACGAATCGCTCATTGTACTAATCCTCACAAAGGCACTAGTACGTCGTTCGCCTCCACATTGCTAACATCCTAGCTGAGTACTTTAAGGTCAAGTAAAATGTTACGCTTTTCATAACCACTCCATATGCAAGTTTGATTGATAAAGCAATGGGACAACTTCTAATTTGTGCAGGTGTTCTACTCTGAGTTCTGTACTCGGTTGGCTAACTCACAAACCTCTATCTTATATAACAACAGTATGTTGCCGGTATGGCACTCGCACTTAAACTGCACTGGGTTCAGTTCCATGACACTGTTTCCACCCTCGTACTGAATACATTTCGATCATCAGAGGCATTAGTTCTTTGGTTTCATTTTCGATTGCCCAAAGGAAGTCCCTGGTGTCATTGAACTCTGATCTCCTTAACTAAGTTTTTACTTATCTCATTAAAGCCGGATGAATCACTGCGCTGTGCATTCAGAACCATCGGGAGACTGGAAGATAACGGAGTACACTGGATTACGTACTTTTAAGATTCATCGAATTATTCGTTAATCGTTCTTTTAGAGTGCCTTGGTTATCTGTGTGAGAACATCGTTTTCGTTACCGACCGGGTTATCCTCCACTTAAACTCAGTCATCTGAGAAAACTGTTTGGGGCCACCGATTGTCCGTGACAGTAAAACCAACAAAATGTGAACATACCAAAACTGAATTATAGACGCTTGTGCTCGCCGGTTTATCGATTTGTACGTTCTACATCACATTTACCATCTCAACTGGACCACATGTTGGTCCGCGTTTTAATTCAAAAGCTGACCCCCGTCGCTTTTTGAAGCAGACTGCTTAGTCATTGGCTTCAACTGGAGTTATCAAGGCAAATGTCCATATACACATCTGTATCATAAATCATGTTATTTAATTCTAGTTTGTCCATGAGTGGTTTTCGATTACAGTTCATTATATTGCTCCTTATGTACTTTTGCAGGCCAGTCGGCCGCCGCAAAGCATTTCACTGGTGGATGTATTCTCACTGCTGAACAGGCAGAACAAATTCGATATCAAAAGGAGGTAAGCTTCTTCTAACTTTTAGTTTTTTAGTTTAGTTTTTTCAAGTATATTTTCTTTTCATTTTCAATGGGTTGAGACATCGCCGCCTTGTCAATGCGTTATTTCCTCTTAGAAATTTCTCAGACGAATACAGCTTAGTAGGCTTCCTTACTGTATTCGATTTCAAGATGTAGTTTTCACTTCGAAAATCCTGTAGCCGTTGCCATGAGTCGGACGACAGTATTGTTAATTTATAATTGTGAAAATGAGTGCACTGCCATCTGGAAAACACAGTGCTGCAAACATCTAATAAAACTCTCCAAGAGAGACCTTAGTGTACGGGACAACCGCCAGGAAGTAAGGCTTCTTCATGTACTCTTCCATTGCACTGAGGTTGCTTCTGCATTGTCGGGTCACTTTGACAGGCTAGTCCGGAATCGGATGCAAGTAACTAACTAGCTAACTAATATATATATATATATATATATATATATATATATATATATCTATTGATGTGTGGGACCACTGTTCTAGCCTAGCGAGTTAACGAAGGTCGTGCACCCCGTCCCCCAGCAACGATTAGCAGTCTCCTACAGCCGGTACAATCAGGTGGCGTTTTTTCGACAGGTAGGTAACTTGACAACAGCCACATCAAACACACAGGGGATGTCCATCAATCAACACCTGAAATGTAAGAAATTCGTCGCGTAGGCTCATGTTTAGATCAACTGCAGTGATGACATAACACACATGCCCCATCGACCGCATGATTGACTTAGCTTGGCAAATTAAATCAGTAACACCGCACCTACCAAGCGCTGCGCTAATGATGCTTTATTATTTAACTAAATCGTCGCCTCTTATATGTTGACCCCTCGTTGCCCCCCCCCCTGATGACTTACCAGACCTGTTTGGCTAAAGTACTCCCGATCGCAAGTGCTGCAGCCCTATCCTCTTGATGTCGATGGGTTAGACTCAATCGGTGCCTGCCGCTCCCGCAACTTGCGTTTTTTCCTGCTGCATCCATAATTTCTCATACACTTGGGCAACTGCATACTTTATGTGAGCAGGTCATTGGTCTCGATCCCTTTGGTTCTTAACACTTGAAACCAACATTAGTTCGTGATAAATTCACCTTCGGTTTTTCCACGTTCCGCTTCTCTCTGCACTACGTTGTCTATATAGAAACTGCTTGTATATCCTCATCGAATTCATACAGATGACATGATCGAGCTTTCTAAACTAGCGCAGCAGAAGTATGCATTCCACTGCATGACACTGCGGCGCAGCACTTCCATTTGCAACTCGGTCACCCCAACCGACGCGCATAATCTGACGTAGGCATTTCTGAGTCTGGTTGTGTTCAAAACCTGTGTCATACTGGCCAAGTAGTCTTTATATGAGGCATCCCTGACATTAATGTTTGGGCTTTTAATTATTATATCCTGTTCGATTGTGCTAACTTGACTGCTGAACAGGTTTTTATCCATCCTTCACTGTTGAGCTGGTCAGACTTCCTCATGAGCTGATTTAGCTTAAAATTCAGTGGTACACCGCTTCCTGATGTTGTTTATTCGACCTATAATTGCCGATTCAACATCTGCGTGCTTTTGGCGGCCCATCGCAATAGAGCAGTCAGTTCTCTTGTCCTTTAAGATCTTTTCGCTCCTTCGAAGGCGGTTATTCGCATCAGTTATCATTAATTTAATCATACACAACTCATATTGTCTTGCTAAAGCCCATGCCTCCGGATGGTCTAAGGCCAGTCTGTAGTTCAAACTGGGTGGCAAACATTCCTTCTCAGACATACGTGTAGAAAATATACTTTTTTGCGTGCAGAAGCTCGCCAGTAAGCAAAGGTTTTCCAACCATGAGCTTGGTGTGTCCGAATAGCTATGATACAGAGGCTTGTGTTGTTCAGTTGGGGGTCGGAACTTTTGTTGCAACTGTTTCATCACTGCTCAAGGTGACATCATCGGTGCGCCATTATGTAGCGGAGCGGGGGGGGGATCGATGCAAAGCGTCAATCGCAACTCGCTGATGTTTCGCATCGCGCCGCTCCGCTACATACTGACACATTGATTATGTCGCCTCGAGTGATACTGAAACAGCTGCAGCAAAACTTCCGGTCAGCAATTGAACAACAAAAGCTATGAATGTTTGCACAGGCCGTACCATGAATGACAACTGAACGCAAAATCGTTCCCTCGTGTCATTAGGGTAACTCAATGTGTTAACATATTTGCTACTAAAAGTGGCAAACTTACAACGTCCGAGGCGCAATCGAAAAGTCATCAGTCGTGGGTTGACACCAGTCGGCTGTGCCACCAGCTGGCCATTTTAGGTGGTTGGATAGTGCAAATCTGACCCATGTTTACGTGGTGCTGTGGTGGCGTTTCCCACCCAGTAGAATGTTTAACCAACACTAACTTCATGCAACTTCCCTTGCTCAGCGAGCCCTCACTCAGTACAACAATGTCAATTCCTTAGCATGCGAGTTCCTTCGCTACCAGTGCCGTGCGTCGCTCGGAGCGTTTACTCGAGTTCCGAACGAGTGATGTTCGCACTTTCCAACACCCGATGATGGACGCTTTCGGCGGAGGCATATGATTGCGCTGGGCAATCACTCGAGTGGTGACCTGTATTAGAGACAATGGCAGGTTAGTGGAAATGGGGACGGGGTGAGAATGTGCAGGGGAAGCAAAAACGGTGGATACATCAGCGCTATCATGTTTTCGTTTATCCACCCCGCTGTATGCGGCACACAAAGCGATCCTTTTCGTTACCCCACCTCTGCGCGACGGTCGGTGCAGTATTACACCGTAAGTATTTGTGTGATGCATAGCTTTTTTTGGGCTAGTGTAATGCCAGGACGTCCATACCTGAACAAGAGAACGACTCGGTTGCTGAGCCTTTGATAAAATGTACTCCCGAAAGACGGCGGGCCGTGTGACATGAGTCGGTAAACCGACTTACGCGCAGTTGTGTGTGTCCTGACTGTTATTGATTGGAAATCGCCGCATTATTTCCAAAAGCCCAATGCAACATATCCAACTTTCAAGCAGGAAATTTAATCTAGGAAGGAAATCGCTGACTGATGACCGCTCAGCTGGAAGAAGTACAGATTTTGGAGTTCGAAAGTACGCCGGCTGGAAAGGAGGACAACGACAGCCAGTGTACAGTCCCATCGCGAATAAATCAACAGGTGGCGAAAAAGAACCAGATTTTAGAGCATTGAAAGCTCATTGTTTTGCCTCTCATAAAACAGCCCCGATAAACAACTCATTTAAAGCAGTTAACTTGCACAACACCTCTCCTTTTCATGATTGGCTACTTGTTGCTCCTCTTTATTGGGCTCCGCTGCAAAGGTTTTACTGAATTTCGGACTCCATCTGTCTATCGATAACGATGAAGGCTGACATCGACCTTATCTTCCGACGGTGTGGTATTTGTGGTGCTCTTGGACGGACGGACAAAGGTGTGCAGTAGTTTGTCTAGCGGGCGTGCTCGATGAATGATGTCATTCGTTGAGTCCGCGTGTCTTGGTGGTAACTGGTTGCGGTGCCGCCTCCAGGCTTCATCATTTGCTAATGCATCATAAAGTGCTACTCCTCGGCGAACGGTAACCATAGCCTCGATTATCTCATTGTGCCCGCGTCTGTGATATTGAGCGTACAAAGGTGTTCCAACATGGAGGCAACTATGGTTCTTTGCGTCGGAAAGCAGAGTGGTTGAATCGTTCCTCTAGATGAGCGCATGGTAAACTGTACGCAATTTCCGGCTCATTAGAGTTTCCGCGGGGAACGACCCTCGGGCATCGCCACGTCAGGAGTGGTCCGACGCAAACAAGAAAGGTTGCAGGACCTCATCAGTAGTCCCCTCCTCAAGCGACCTCAGAAGCACACGCTTGAAAGTATCGACGAAGCGATTGGTTTCACCATTTGACTTAGGGTGGTACGGCGCAGCCCGTACTTGTCGGATGTTCAAACGGGAACAAAGCTTCGTTTATTGGGCTCAGGTGGACTGGGATCTATTATCTGTAACAAGTACATATGACAATCGTGCTGACTGAGGATCTTCTAAAGGGCGGAACTCGTGCTAGTTAAAGTCGCCGGACTAAATGCTATTATGTCTGGCCACTTGTAGTAAGCGTCGACATTGACGAGGTACGACATTCCATAGATTGGACCAGCGAAGTCTAAATGAAGACGGGACCATGTAACTCAAGGCGGTGGCCCCAGTATCTGCCCTTATCTAACCGGTAGCCTGGCATCTTGCTGGCATTTAGAACACATCCTGACATGTTGCTGTATATCGACATCCATCCATATCAAGCAAATAGACTTGCGATGGTCTTCATCCTGCTGATGCCTGAATGATCAGTGAAACTGGCGGAGAGTAACTGGACGGAAGGAGGGCGTTAACACAACTCGGTCGGCGAATATAAAGCTAGAATCCACACCAGTAAGGCCAGCGCGATCATGTAAAGGAAATGACATGTTGAACCGGATCGTGCGCGATTGCGTGTGACGAATGCCGGCCGCGGTAACCGAAATCCCACGGATGGCGTCTGAGTGCTACCGACCGACATCTTCCTGAATTTGTACAGAAGCAATGCCTACGTCTTCTTCAAGTGCGCGATGGTTGCTGAGACTGTAAGGCAACGCATCGGCTTGTCCGAACTCGTCGGTGCGACAGTACAATTAGGTAAACTCCTAATCGAAGAGGATTGTTAGCCAACGTTGAAGACACTTGTCAGAGTATAATCGGATAGCATTCTTAGCTCCACAGATCGAAATTTACAGTTTTTGGTCAGAGCAGCTTGAAATGGAGACCAAACAGGAATTTCCTGCCAGCAAAAATAATAACCAATGCCTCTTTTTCGATTTGGCCGTAATTTTTCTGAGATGCTGTGAGTGTTCGCGAGACGTGAGCGATGGTCTTTTCAGAACCGTTTGGGAAAGCATGGGAAATGACTGCTCCTAAGCCGTAATTAGAAGCATCTACTGCGACCACGATTC